GTATTCCTCCCGATCATATCAAAACAACACACAAAATTATAAATAAATTTAGAAAAGGGCGTTTTACTTTTATCTTTTATTTGAATTTTCTAATATCTGTTCAAACTTTAAAATTTATATTTTTGTTTATATTTTTGGAGGTTTTTTTTTAATTTTTGTTTGCTGATTTTTATTTCTTTTTGATTTTTTAATTAGGTTATTCTTCGTGAATTTTCTTTAAAATTAAAGGGTAACCTGATTGTGATTTGGGCGGGTTACCCGAAAACCTACCCGTCTTTTAGCTCAAATGGATCTATTTCTTGATGTGTATTCGAGCCTGGAGAGAACGTAGGGTTGTTCCCCGACGGTGAGGGAGGTGGAGGGCCACGGGGAAATTTTTTTCTTTCGCCACGGGAGGGGGGTGGACGGGAATTTTAAAAAATTGTCTCAAATTCCCCGAATTTCGAGGATGGGGAACAACCTTAATAAAAGGTGCGGTCAGAGTTTGTGGTCATTATCGAGATTCCGTAAACAGACCTGATCGGAGAGGAAAAAAATTTATCGGAAAATTTTTGCCATCGAATTTTATTTTAATTTTTTAATTTTTAAAGACCCCTTGAGTGACAAATTATTTTTTTTATATTTTTCGACTATTCCCTCATTTTTTTAAAATCCATTTTTTGATTCTCTCGATGAGTTTATCTCTCTTTTAATAGAAATTTTCTTAAAGCTATCTTCAATCTTTAATTCTTTATTTTTTTATAAATTCAAGGTTAATTCTTTCATTAATTTATTTATTTATAAAATTAATTTAAACAAAACACATCCAGTTTTAGAAAATTTTTTCAATTTTTTATTACTGTTTATATTTATTTTTTAATAAACAATCTTCTTTAATTTCCAAAAAACAATTTTTATTGTTTTGTTTTTTATTAATTTGTGATTTTTTTGTTTTTATTTTTAAACACAAAAAAAATTTTTTTAGGTGACAAAGTAAATCAAGATATTATTTGTTTTCTTAATCACATTTTTCATTGTACAAACTTTCTATAAGGGGAATTAAACACGGACCTGAAAATTAAGAAAAACCATATTAGGAAAAACTATGACCTAGTCCTTGTTTGTTGATCTAATCCTTTCAAGGGATGTCATGAATTGCCCGAAACTCAGATTTCTTTCCTACTCGAAACCGATTCAAGAAAATTTCCAAACTGGCCCTAAACCCGACTCGACTTTTTTCTCAACCTGTGACATCCCTTGGCTAAGCCTTCTAATTAGACGGTTAGTTTTAACTTGAGACTTGATTGAGACTGGACTTGAGGATCAATCTAAATATAAAATAGAAAACTAGAAGAATCTCACTTCTCGGTAGCTTCAATTTTTTATCTAGATCTTAAGTATCTTCAATCCATTCTCTGATTTTTTACTTACCTCTATCAATTTTTATTTTTTTCCTATTTTTTATTCAATTTTTTCAGCTTCTCCAAAAAAAACCCCCTTGTTACAAAAAAGTATTTGACAAAAATGTTGTCCTCTAACATATAATAATAATTTTTTTCATATAGGTTGATTCATTTTTTGTCAGGCCAAAAAAATATAAGGGTAAGAAAAAAAGCGGTAAACGAATATGAAAAAATTCCTTTCCTTCCCTCATGCATTCCTTTAAAACATTTTTTTATTCATAACACTTTAATTTGTAAAAAAAAATTTTTTAAAAGTCATTTTTATCAATTCCAAGCATTATAATCGTTCATGCAATAAATAGTCATTAAGCCTTATGTAGAGAAGAATGTATAGGAGAAATGACAAAAATTATTTTCAAATACTTCCTTGATCCTTCTTTGATCCGTCCTTGAATCTCCTCACTCACTAACAATCGACGGAACTTGGGGAAACGGACTTAAGATTCCTCCTTGATCCTTCCTTGCTCCGTCCTCGAATCTTTCTCACTAGCAATGTGGAGGGAACTCGGGGAAAGGGACTTCTCTTGAGGACTGGGAGTTGACGATTTTTTAAAAGGGGTCGACTAGGGTTCTCGACAGAGGTCGATCGGAATTCCAATTTCCGACAGTTCCGATTTCCGGAACCTTCGTCATTTCCAATCGACCTCTATCTGGTTCTCGGTTCGGAACTGAAATCAACAATTTTAGATTCTTCGGTTCGGTCCCGGATATCCGAAGATTTTCCAAGAAGTTGACAACCTTAGATACAAACCTATTTAAATAAGTTCGACGATTTCTCTTTTAACAATAAAACAATAAAATATAAAAATTGATTAGGCTGATTAAAACGTGATTTTTATGAGTCAATATACATTATATTTATATTTTTCTTTTAATTATTATAAGCCAATCAAGCATCTTCTTCCCTAAAAAGCATTTTTTTCCTTTTTAAACTTTTTATTTTTTTTAATTTCAACATTATTATCATTCCTTTCCTTTACTTTTTAAACTTTATTTTCAATTAGTAGATCAAAAACTTATTATAAAATGCCAAATTGTGTCGCTGATTCTAATCCTAATACCAATTTTCTTTCACCAAAATCCATTCGTGATCGACGTAGTAAAAGCAGTGAATTTTATATTATACCAAATCAGAATGCTTCAACTACAATTCAATCAAAAATTTTGTTATCTACAGAAGGACAACAACAACAGCCTCTATTAGATAGAGTCAATCATTTTGTAGAAAATTTTGGGGTGCCAAAGAAAAGCTCAAAACATGGAAGTTTTTACAAAGCTTCTGCTGGTTTATCTGCCGGTTCTTCTTCCAACAATTCATCTTCCGGTTCGTCTATGGGATCAACAGATTCTTCAACTTCCGTCCCTTCTTCATCCTCTTCTGTTGTTTATCATCATTACCCCCCTTCTTCACACTATGCTGATGATGCCCGCCGTCCAAGTCTTCCATCAAACGCTTTCAATGAAGGAGGTGGTATGCTTCTTCATTCTTCTTCATCTTCCTCATCTACCGATTCCACTTCGTCTACGGCAGTAACGACATCCGAACCTGGCACTTATTCTTCCTTACTTCGCACACTTCGAACACAAGCAGCTTCGGGTACTCTCGTATCCGTACCTGAGCGTTCTCCTTCTCCACGTGCTCGTTTTGTCCGTAACATTCGAAATACGCATAATAATAGGCGTCGACAACAACATCAACACCAACCAGCACACTTTCAGCACTTACAGCGTCAGCAAACACCTCCGCCCCAAATTAATATAATATGTGGAGATATAGACGAAGAAGAAGGAATTGTTGAAAAGGAGGAGGGAGACTATGAGGTTAAGATTGGTTCTTCTCCTGTGGGTTCCTCAACAGTTGGTTCTTCTCCTGTTGGTTCATCTCCAGTTGGTTCCTCAACAGTTAGTCCTTCTCCTATCAGTCCTTCTCCTGTTAGTCCTTCAACAGTCTTGGGAAGCATTCAAAGAAGAAGGAAAAAGGAGTCAGTTGAAGAAGTGAATAAGGAAGAAAACAAAGGAGAATCTAAGGAGGACTCTGTTGGTTCTTCTACAGTCTATGGAAGTATTCAGAGGAGGAAAAAGGAAGGACAAAGCAAGGATTTGAAGAAAATAAATGAGGGAGAAATTAATGAAGATAGCAAGGACTTTTTAAAAAATTCACCAAACTCTTCCCCAAAATCTTTTCCAAAAGCTTCTCAAAAATTTCTACTTCCTCAAAAATCTTCATCCCCTACCCTAACTCGTGGGAAAGCTCAAAAAATGTCTCTATTCTCCAAACTTGAATCAACAACTAGTAAAAATTGTAATAACATTAACAACTCTTCTCTTTCAATAAACTCCGCTTCAATTTCCGATTTTCGTGCAGCATTAATAGCTTCAAACAAACAACAAATTAATGAAGAGGAAGAAGTTAATGTTGATAAAAATGTTAACAACAATAAAGAAAAAAATAATTTATTTTTTCCTCGAAATTGTGTTAGTAGCAATTTGAGAGAGAATAATAATAAAAATAAAAATTATTTTATTGACAACCATCATAATGTTGATGATTATCATCACGATTTGATAACCTTCAATAAAAATTTTATAAAATCTTCAACATCTCCCCCATTGTCCCCAACATCAATTTCTTCATTACCCTTATCTGCTTTTCCTCCTCCACAACGTTTGGGAACCTCAACATCAACAACTTCCTCCTCCATACAAAAACCACAACCCTTTGAATCAACTACGCCCCCCAAAAATAATCGTAGACGTTCTGGATTTGAAGGAATGTTAACTGGTGGGGGAGGTACTGAATGGCGTGTTTTTCGTCAAATGGCACGCATTTTGCGGCGCGACAATAACAATAATTCTCATCGAAGGGGTGATAGTTCAACTGTTTTTACTGCTCAACAAAGCCCACCAGTTTCGCCATTTTTTGGCAATTGTGGAAATCGAAGGCGTTATTCTTTAGCGCCTTCAGTGGAATCGGCAGCGGGAGGGCAATATGGTTTCTAATTTGTTTAAATTTTTTAAACGCTTATTACTTATTCTATAGCTCTTAATGAGCTTGTTACTCTTAATGAGCTTGTCTTATACCAGAAATTTATTAAAAGTTTTTTTCCATTTTTTAACATAAGTAACCTCAATTTAAGACACAGTAAAAATTCTTATCATTATTAATTAAAAAAAATTTTTAGACGCTTATTAGTAAAATTCTTGGAAACCTAAGTAATCTCCCGCCCTAGAAGCTAGCGATAAAATCCAAAAAGGGGGAAGTAGGATTGTTTGATCAGTTAGCCTGTTGATCAGTTACAGTCGAACCTCGCTTGCACGAATCACCTCTATATTACAGAAAAAATCGGACGATAAATTAAGCGTGTCTTACAACCGAGGTTCGATTGTATAATAAGGTTGAAAAGGGATATGTTAGGGCATCTTAAGATTAATGTTAAAATATAAATAAATTAAAAAAAAAGATAAAAAAATTCAAAAATATTTTTAAAAAATCAAAAAAAAAATTTAAAAATTTTCAAAAAAATTTTCAAAAAAATTTTTTTAACATAAATTTTTAAGGCGATTTTATGAACAATTTTGCCGACCAACAGCAACTTCTACAACAACAAAATTTATCTCAACATCAATCTTCTCTACTAAATCAAAGTCCAAGTTCAACAACTCCAAATGTTGGTAGTTCCTCACCATTTTGTAGCCCAACATCAACTACAACTGATGGAATTTTTAATCATAATAATGGGCCATCTACAGCCTCTTCAAATTTCTTTCCCCGTGCCCAACTACAACATTCTCGGTGGGCAGATTTGGAATTATGGACAGAACAGGAAACTAGTTGGACTGCAAAATATTGTGTTGGGAGTGATAATGAATGTAAGGAATGGAAAAAAATTTAAAAAAATTTCTATGACGACTTAGCCTGAAGACAAGTAAAATTCATGGAAATCTAAGTAAGCTCCTGCTCTTAAGACTGACTATAAAATCCGAAGGGAAGTGGACTAGGATGATCAGTTAGCTGATCAGCCATCTATTTGAAGATTTACTTAGATTGTGGGTTAGGCCTTCTCTCTGAGTTAGTTAGACTTTCTCCATCTTGTATTTTAAATAGGCAAGGCTCCTCCTATATGTTCCGAAAATCAGCTGACTTCAAAGGGAAGTAGGATTGTTTGATCAGTTAGTTAATCACCTAATCAACGATTTGGAGAGTTAAGTAGCTTGTGGGTTTGAGGATTATTCGGAGAGTTAGTCTTGACTCACCTTCTACATCTTGTCTCTTAAATAGGCAAGGCTCCTCCTATATGTCCGAAAATCAGCTGACTTCAAAGGGAAGTAGAATTGTTTGGTTAGTTAGCTGATCAGGTACCCGACGATTTGGAGAGTCAGTTAGCTTGTGGGTTGGAGGATTATTCGGAGAATTAGTCATGAATCACTTTTTCCATATTGTATCTTAAATAGGCAGGGCTCCTATAAGTTTTGAAAATCAGCTGACTTCAAAGGGAAGTAGGATTGTTTGATCAGTTAGTCGATCAGCTAGCCAGCGATGATGAGTCAGTAAGCGATTAGTTTAGCTTTTGAGTTGGAGGATTATTCGGAGAGTTAGTCTTGAGTCTACATCTTGTCTCTTAAATAGGCAGGGCTCCTAAAGGTTCCGAAAAAATCAGTCGACTCCAAAGAGAAGTAGGATTGTTTGATGTATCCGCCTTTAAGTATTTTCTACTTGAACTCATTTTTAGCTAAATTTTCTTACGTCTTCAAATTCTCTTATTCTACCAAAATTTTCTCAATTTTTCAGTTTCTTCATTAAGTGCAAAAGAGATGAAGCGTCAAAATATTATTTATGAACTTGTACTAACTGAGCGTCATCATTGCCAAGTTTTAGTATTATTACAACAATTATATTATGAGGGGCTAGCACATAATAGAATTTTGACACCAAAACAATTACAATTGGTAAATTTTAAAAAATAAATTTTTTTTTGAATGATTTGCGGACACAGTTGCGGACAACAGAATCAAAAATAACTTTTAGATTTTCTGAACCTTTAAATTTTTGTTGGCAATCATTGGAATGGGTTTAGAGATATTTTTATTTGTTTTTGAAAAGATTTCCAATTTTATAAACCAACACTAAAAGGATTTTTCTAACAAAAACAGTCCGTAAACTTCCAGTTCGCAAATGCTTAAAGTGTTAGGCAAAAGGCGATATTCTATTTAAATTTGTTAGATAACGCAAGATTTTTTGGGATTACCGAGACCGAATTTTGCGAGGGAAATTTTAAGAGATTTTTTATATATGTCTGTCTTTCTAATATGGAAATTTCGAGATACCTAATCTTCAAATTATTAACTTTGCCGAATACTTTTCAATTTATTACACCCTTTATTTTTATAAAAATTTTTTTTTTCAAAGTTAATACCCGATGTTGAAGCTTTACTTGATTTTCACCTTTCATTTTTACGTAGTCTTATTGAACGTTGTTCTCAATCACCTATTGTAGATGAAATTTCTGATATTTTATTGACGGAATTTGGTTCAGGGAATTTTCGGTGAGGAAATTTTTGAAAGGAATAATTGAACTTTACTATAACATACATCCAATACAAATAATTTGTCAGGCAGTCGAGCTTTGGGAACTGCCCAATAGGGAAAGGCCTTGCGGTGATACTCGAAACATTGATTTTTTTCAACCCGAAACATGATAAGAAGAAAATTTCAGAAATCCTTTCCTAACTTTTTAAAACCTCCAAATTCTTTCCTCAGCCTATCCCTGCTGTATTATGCCGGGCTAGCACACAATTTGCTTGACCTTAGGGAGGTACTCTAGCTCGAACATGGGGATATTCGTTTGGTTCAGGGAATCCCCTGCTGCTTATTAGGCGATAACCCCCCCCCCCTCTCTGCTACTTATAACCTCTATTTAAGATACCCTTAACATAAGCCCCCCCCCCTGCTGCCTAGGCCGATAACCTCTATTTAAGATATTCTTAATATAAGGAATCGGCCCTAAGAGGATATTTTATACTGAGATCCGATTTTAATTTTATTCCAATATATATTTTCTAGTAATAATGCAATAAATTCATATACTGCCTTTTGTCTTGGCCGAGAAGATAGTGCAAAACAATATTCTACTTTAATTGCTCAAAATATACATTTTCGTAAATTTATGGAGTATTACGAGGGACAACATAAAGATCGTTCACTTAAAGATTGTATGTTATTGGTTGCTCAAAGATTAACAAAATATCCTGTTTTGGTGGAACAGGTGTCTAGTGTTGTTTTTTAAATTAAATTTAAACTCGGGCACTTTTAATATTTTTTTATTGATAAGCCGGCAAGGAGCCAAACGCGATTTCGATCCAAACGGGGATTTTTATTCTCTCTCAAGGCCGGCCAAGAGTACCGATAAAATTTTATTGATCAAAATTTGAACACCTTCCGAACCGATCGAGTACTTGGTTGGTTAGGGTTTTACAGAACTGTTTCAAAGTTTCGTTTTTCGAGATGTTGATTTCGAAAATTTTTTTGGTTCGAAACAGCTCTAGTTTTTTGTTTATATTTAGGAGTGTATGCTCAGAACCAAGCCAAAGAAAGGCTGGGGTTTTTTTGTTTGGTTCTACGGTTCCAAATATTTTAAGAATTTTTTTTTAGAAATCAAGAACCTTCTTGAACCCCTCCTCTTAAATATAACAATTTAATTTAAAAATTATTTATTTAACAAAAAATATGTAGATTGCCAAACAAGAATCTCAACCATCAAAACAATTATTAGCTCAAAAAGCCCATTCTATAGTCCGCGAATTTGCAATGCAAGTAGATCAACAATTAATGCAGCATGAATTAAATAAAAAATGGACAGCTTTAAAAAAAGCTTTAGATAAATCTGCGGCTATTGCTAAATTGGTACTTTTTTTATTTTGTATTGTGTTGAAGGTTTCTTCAAGTGAATATGAGAGATTTCTGATATGATAGAATATTAGTTAAATAAATTTTAGGGTGTTGTATAGCTGAAACCTCGAGGGAATTGAGAAAATTCAGAACCAGTTCCTGTCATTTCAAAATCATAACTCTTGCCTGGTGGAGCTCCGGTCGGGAGGAGCTAGCTCAGAAGCCACATTTAAAGCCCAGCCCAACACTTGAGAGTAGGACTTCGATGTTTCGCTACTACCATATTTTGACCTTTGAGGAAGGAATCGGTCTGCTTAAGAAATAAGTCGAGTCGGGGGTTTCAAAAGTTTCTCGGTTAGGGTTTTTTATTAAAATAAAGTCCAGGTATCGGCCCTCCATCTCTTGCTTCGAAGCGCTTGGGGATTAATCTTCATCTTTAATTATATTAAAAAAATTTTTCTAGATTCATCCAAAAGATGGAATTGACTTTTCTTTTGATGATTTAGTTTGGCCTGTTGAAAATGACTCAACAATAACATTAACTAATTTAACAAAAACTATTGGAAGACGGCAAATTTTATTAATAACACGTGCTTTTTGGCGTGAAACAATGAATGGACCTGAACTTGAACGTAAACATAATACCAATTTTTCCCCCAAAAAATGTCTTTTTTTACAGTCCGTTTATTACTTTGTGATGATATTATTGTCTTCCTAAGACCTAAAGGTGGTGGTGGAGGATCTTCTTCATCTACAGTTAATGTTGGGTCAAATTCTAATGCTGCCAATACTAAATTAGTGAGAAAATTATTTTTAGGAAAAGTGACTTTGCTTAGGATTATCTTTACTATATAAACCTTCAATATGAGGATATTGAAGGTTTGAGGGGATTTACTTAATCCGTTGATACCTCCTTAGTCCTCTTTTCGAGAATCTAGATTTTTTCCCCATTAGGGCTGAAAAAATCTGGATTTTGATTGAGAGATGTGAGATCGTTTATACAAGACTTACAAATTAGTCATCAATTTTCTGCTCCTCTAAGTTTAGATTAGAGATCGAACCGAAACGGATCCAATGGATTTGGAGATTAATAGATTTCTGTTGATTGGGATGGAAATTAAGAGGATTTAGTTGGGGTTCGAGAAGGCGATTAAAAGGATATCTGAAGATTTGGGAAGGGAACTATGGGGAATTAGGGGGTTTGATGGGATTGACTTAATCCCTCGATATCTCTTTATTTTTTTCGAATCTGGATTTCTCGGGATTCAATTCGTTTCCCGTACGACCCCAGTCCGTTTCGAGAATCTATTCAAATCCCCTCCCAGTCCCCAGTCCGTTCTCTTATTTTGATATAGCATAAGCTATCTCAGATGATCTTATACTGAACTTAGTTCGATCTCTAATGCATCTATTACTCCATAGGGGATTATTAGGATATTGTGGATTTGAAGGGATTGACTTAATCCCTCGATACCTACTCAGTCCTCTTTACAAGAATCCAGATTTTTTGAGATAACAATTCGATTCTCTTGGTTAAAATGTCATAAGCTGTCTCAGATGATCCTGTACTGGACTTAGTTCGATCTCTAATGCATTCATTTCTTCATAGGGGATTTCCCTCATTAATCTCCCTCAATTTCCCTCATTATCACCTTAATCCTCTTTGAGATTTGAGAAATAATTATTTTACTCATCTTCTCCAAAAATTCAATTTTTTAGCCTCCACTTCAATTCTTTCGCCATATTTCTCATTCTGGTGTTTTACCACTTCACTCAATTTTAGTCCGTGGAGAAAATGTTCGAAGAAAAAGTCTTCTTTTAATTGTTACTGCAAAACAAAGACCAGACTTGTAAAAAATTCTCTAAAAATTTCTGAAAAAATACTCTCTTAAAGATTTGAATTTGCCTTCCCAACAAGTGTTGAATTGGAAAATTTTGCTTTAGCTATTAAAAAAGCAAAGGTAGAAGCACCCAATTTTGTTCGTTTAGCAGATGGGAAATGTTTTGAATTTGCTGATAAACCTATTGGGGATGGAATGGGGAAACCTATAATTAATTCTGATGATTTTAAAACACAAATGGAAAATTGGAAATTGGAATTGGATCAACTTTTTGGTGAGGGGGACTTGAGATTTTTTAGATTTTGATGAATTTTATTCCAGTATTTGTCATTGGTAAAGACCTCAAAACCTCAAAAAACTCTTTGATAAAGACCTCAAAAAGGATAAGGGTAACCACGATTTACCACAGCCCCCAGTACACCTTGAACTATTAAGAAAGCTCAATCCTCCTTGATGAAGGGGGATCTAGTGAATGAAGGGGGATCTAGCTTATGAAGGGGGATCTAGTTGGGAGTTCATTAAGTTGAAATTGGAATTGGATCAACTTTTTGGTGAGGGGCTTGAGATTTTTAAACCTTAATAAATTTCATTCGAGTATTTGTCATTAACGCTAAACCCTTCGATAAAACCTCAAAAAGGATAAGGGTAACCACGATTTACCACAGCCCCCAGTCCACTTTGATCTATTAATAAAGCCCCCCCCTCCCCAATCCTCCTTGAGGCTTTTAAACTAAGCTTATGAAAGGGAGATTTAGTTGGGAGTTCATTAAGTTGGAAATTGGAATTGGATCAACTTTTTGGTGAGGGACTTGAGATTTTCAAAATTTTAAGTGGATTGTATCCGTGTATTTTTTTGTAAGTTCACAATCGGTTTATTTTGCTTATAGCAGCTAAACTGCTCTTAGCATTTCTCAATTTAAACTGCCAAAATTAACTGGTTGTGAATAACCATGTTGGAGTTAAACTCCGAATGAGAACCTCAAATGTTAAGGGTAACCATGTTTTACCATATTTACCTCGAGGTTTATAATTGAGCATATGAAAGGGGGATCTAGTTGGATATGATTTCACGTATAATATTCAACATGCTATGACATTTTTACATTTAATAAGGCATTGGGGTAGACTACATCAGGGATATCTCAGGTTACTCGAAACTGATATCCGAACTCTGAACTTTCCACCCGAGACATTCCTTTTCTAGACCTTTAGGTTTTGTTTATGTTTGAACTTTTTTTTGCTTTTTCTCAACTTCAAAAATTTATGTTGAAATTGTTGTTTTTCAGAACAACGTTCCAAAGAGGAAGCCGATTTGGAGCATTATTTTGAGGCTCGTATGCTTTTTATGGATCGTCTACGTACACTTGTTGAACGAATTCCTCGAAGAAAAAATAAACAAAAGAAGAGAAGAAGGAAAAAAGTTGAGGACAATGAAGATAAAAATGAAGAGAGTTTGATGAAGGAAGAGGAAAATGAGAAAGAAGAGGAAGAAGAATATAAAATACAACAAAAGGCAGCATTTGAACATTTAAGAAATCGTTTTAGGTAAAATTTGAAAAGATTTTTTGATTACTTACCCTCCCACGGAACGTCCCACTTGTGTACCGGCCGTTTGTGTACCTGGCCATGTTTTGGGCCAGAACTTTTTCGATTCTTAATTGATTTAAATAATTTATATTTCAATCGAAAGCCCTGGATGTGAGGATTATTTTTGCCTACAGGAATTATTTGATCAGATCATTACACAAAAAGTTACAGCCAGATAAGTGTGTGCAATCGTGATTTTGATCTTTATCTGGCTGTAACTTTTTGTTTGTTGATCTGATCAAATAACTCATGTTGGCAAAAATAATCCTCACATCCAGGGCTGTCGATTGATAAAAGATTTATCCGAATTGGTTGAAACTCCAAAAAGTTATGGCCTAAAATATGGCCAGGTACACAAACAGCCGGTACACAACCCACCCTCCCACGAGTAATCTGGAGCAATAATAAAAATTCAAAGGTCCTTGAAGTTTAGGACAATCAAGTTGATTTTTTAAAAAATCGTGGCTATGGGTTATTGTCTTTTGTCAAAAATAAACCTGGGTTTTAATGAAAAGTCCAAATAAACTTATAATAGTTTGAAAAATTGTTAACCTAAACGAAACTGAAAAAACATCTAAAAACATTAACCGAGAATAAGTGATCCAAAAATGGACTCGCTGAAAAAGCTAGGGGATTTAAGCCGAGACTTTTCCAAGACTCAAGATCAAGACCAATACCTTAAGACCAACCCCAAAACCCTCTTAAAATTGTCTTGAGTATAAATCTTGACTCAAGCTCAAGAGTCTTGGACAGCTCTATGGGATAAAATTGTTAAATAAAATCATCCAAGAATTTACGTAAATTAATTAATGGTCAGCTGTTCTATTATATTTTTATAGAGAATTGGAACGAACACGTGTTGAGCCTCTTGTGCGTTTAATAGATAAAGCTAAAAAGATGAGAGATGCTGATCTAATAGCACTTTTTGATGATTTTTATGATTTGGGCGGAGAAGTACAACAACAACAACAGGAAGAAGAGAAAGAAAAGTGTGTTGTAATAGCTACTGGTAGTGGAGATTCTGCTACATCAGCAGAAGAACAGCCACGAGCTTCTGATGAAGATAGAAGGCCTAAACCTAGAAGAGTGCGTACTTACCATGGAGCGACTGATAAACGAAAAAGTGGGGATTTTTGGAAAATATTTTTTTTTAGAAGATTTAATTGACAGACCTCCATATAAGGGACTCCCTGATGCTTAAAAATATTGTATTTTATAATGAGAGGAAGCTGTCTAAGCGATAGCGTGTATCGCTTAGACAGCTTACTCTACATAGAATCATATCAATTGATCAACCAAATTTAGAGGCGTATCTTAAATTGACGGGCATCTATTACTGAATCTTATAATGATGTGTATCTTAAATAGAGGATATCGCTAAGGCTGCTCTCCTATCCAGATGTATTTAGGTAGAGGATAAGCTCTCCTATCCACCTCTAACAAATTCTAGAAAAATATCTTAAATTAAGGGAGGTACCTTTTATTGGGTGTACCTTATGAAGAGGTCTGTTTATGATTCATTTTCTTTATCATCTTTTAGAAGGGAATTCTGATGGCTCATCCTGTTCTTCATCTGGCGGAGCTAGTGCCATTCGTCGCCATACAACATTTCCATCTAGTGGACGCCATGATGCAAGTTCAGATGATGAGGATGACGAAGAAGAAGAAGATGAATGTCTACGCCAACTATTACCGCTTCGTATGGGTGCTGGAGCGCGTCGTGTAGCAACCGATTTAATTCGAGAAAATTTGCGTTTGCGTACACAACTTAATCGTTTGAAGGCTAAAACAGCATTGCAGGCAAGAGAAAAAAATATTAAAAAAATAAAATTGAAACTCACTATAAAACACCTCTACGGAGGTTGTACTTTATAATGAGGGGTCATACACAAACCTTATACCTATCTGGTTATGGACTAGTAGCTCCCATCCCCATAACCTCTCATTATAAGGCCACGGGTTGAGAAAAATGCCACAGTTTGAGGTCGAAAAAGATGAGCGACCCTTAACATTCTTAATCACCACATTCCTTATCATAGTGGCTGTTTTTTTCGTGAGGCTTGACTGAAAATATTTTAAAATTAATTTTATTAAAGAATAATTTCTTTTCAGGAAATCTGGTTAACAGCAGCAATGCAAAAAGTAATTAATAATGATGAAATAATTATTAAACAAGAAGAGGAAGAAAATAAACAATTAAAAGACGAAGAATTAGCTTTAAATGAAACAAAAGTTTTGAAAATAATGGCACGCGATTTAGCTCGTCGTGAAGCGGAAATTGAACGAAAAGAGGTAAGTAAACACAAAGATTTTTAATCATCAGAAATGGATATTCTGAGACTATAATTGCACTAGAACATAGTGCGGTTCCGGAAAAAAATATATTCTGAAAATTAATTCTGACTTTTTAAAAATAGTTCTGAAATTAATTCTGATATTTTAAAAATAATTCTGAAATTAATTCTGATTTTTAAAAAATAATTCTGAAATTAATTCTGATTTTTCTTAACTATTCTGAAAATAATTCTGATTTTTAAAAATAATTCTGAAATTGATTCTGATTTTTCTTAACTATTCTGAAAATAATTTTGATTTTTTAAAAATAATTCTGAAATTAATTCTGATTTTTTAAAAATAATTCTGAAATTAATTCTGATTTTTAAAAAATAATTCTGAAATTAATTCTGATTTTTCTTAACTATTCTGAAAATAATTCTGATTTTTAAAAATAATTCTGAAATTGATTCTGATTTTTCTTAACTATTCTGAAAATAATTTTGATTTTTTAAAAATAATTCTGAAATTAATTCTGATTTTTTAAAAATAATTCTGAAATTAATTCTGATTTTTAAAATTAATTCTGAAATTAATTCTGATTTTTAAAAGTAATTCTGAAATCAATTCTGATTTTTAAAAGTAATTCTGAAATTAATTCTGATTTTTCTTAACTATTCTGAAAATAATTCTGATTTTTAAAAATAATTCTGAAATTGATTCTGATTTTTCTCAACTATTCTGAAATTATTTATGTTAATAATTCTGAAAATTTATTCTGAAAAACTTTCCGGAACTAAAAGCTTAAAAGTTTTCCGGAAAATAGAGACAACAATGTTACCGTAAATAGAGAAAAATAAATTATATTAATAAGTAGGGACATTTGGTTAGAGAGTAAGAGAAGGTTGTGCCTATTTTTAAGCGGCGAAATTTTTTTATTTAAATTTTAAAAATTTTAAAAATATTTTTTAATTAAAATAAAATTAAAAAAATATTTACAGGCACAACTTAAAGCTCGTGAGGAGGAAACATTACCAACTTTACCATCAAATCAACAAAAACCATCATCTTCTTCCTATCAACACTCACCATCTTCAACTTCCTTACAATCTCCTTCAAACACAAAATATTCAAATATAGAAAAGAAAACATCGTTTAAAGGAAATAAACAAAAAAATAATCAACAACAATTATTGCAACTTGAAAAGGAAAAAGAGTTTGATCACCACCAATCATTTACTACAAATACTTCTCCATCAACTTCGACAAAATCAACAACTACAATGTACATATTTTTTTATTTCAAAAATTATTGAAATGATTAGACAATTTTTGGATATTTCTATCCATCTAAGATTGTCGGGTCCGGATATCCGGATCCGAAAAAGGCCGGATATCCGGAAATTTTCGTTCGGATACCGGATCCGGATATCCGAAGATTTCCAACTATCCGACAACCTTATATCCAACTAGGCTTTTTTCCCAATTTTTCGAGCCAATTGAGCGTTATCTGAACAAGCGTCTTTAAGATAGAGTTGAGCCATTTAGCAACCCGTATACATTAAAATATCATTAATACGTCTCCAATTTCTTTTCGCTCTTGTAATTTTAACACGGTTCCGAAGGCGTACTAACGAGATTCCACTATAATATAGTAGAGTTGAAAATTTGAAAAATGCCGGATCTGGATTTCATATTTAAAATTTTTTTAAACTTGACTAGATTTTCCGGATCAAAATTCGGATTATTTAGACCCGGATCCTTGGCTGCAATTTATTCGACTACTACCCTCTGTTTTTTATACTACTATACCTATTTATAGGCCGACTTTTATTTCTATAATAATTTGAACCGGATCAGTCCACATTCTCTCCCCTATCCCTCTCACTTTCTCTTGATTTTCATTCTTTAGGATCGAGTTGAGCCATTAAAAATCATTAAAAAAATTTTTTTCTTCAATTTTTAGTCGAATAAACAATACTTATTGTGGTGCTGGACCTATACCAACATCAACATTATCAACTAGTAACACTAAAGATACTTTACTTCCTTCCTCAATAAGTAATAGCCATTTAATTCAATCAAATAAACAACAATTTAATAATAATAAAAAATGTTCAATAACAATGTTAGAGCCAAATCAAAATAATAATATTTCTTTTGAACGTCGAGCATTAAGTCATGCTGAATTGCCTGTTCATTTGGCTGTAAAAACTGAGACAAAACAAAGAAGGAAATAAAATTAAAATGAATTTTTTTGATTGAAAAAAATTTTTTTTCTTCATTTAAAAAATAGAGGAGAGTCTGTACCAGACCATTTCAAAATTCTTTCTTGATTTTCTTAAAAATTTTATTAATTCTTGGCTTTTATAATATACAGTCTTGAATAGGGTTGAGGTTTTCGAGTCGGGCCGATGTTCGAGTCATCTTTTTTATCGGGCTGGCCCGATCGAGCTGTTTCAGGCCAAAATTTGCTGCCCGACTCAATCTTTAGGACCGGACCCCCAACCCTAGTCTTGAAACTTGATTTTACACTTTTTGGTACTGAAAATGCTGATTTATTTTAATAAGTTTTGTATTCAAAAATTGAGAGTTTTGGGCACTAAGGTTGTCGTAGCCTGATATACGGATCCGTAGAAATCCCCGGATATCTAATAATTTTCGGGTTGGATATCGTATCCGGATATCCGAAGATTTCCAACTATCCGACAACCTTACTTGGGCATCCACTCAATGGCCAACCAAAATTTTAAAATAAATTTATATATTCTGAATTAGGATGTTAACTTGAGAATTAAGTGGTTTGACTTGCTAGATCGCTGTTGTAAATGCTCTTAAGGGTTTGATTTGCTAGAATTAAGTGCTCGAGATTAAGATTTTGACTTCCACGGCGCTTCAACTTATCTTGATTATTTTAGAATATATTGCGGATTGCCACTATTAGCTTTAATAAAAATTTTATAAAAGCCTTGAACTAATTTAGAGGTCGGTAACTTGCCATCCTGGGAAACTCTCGTATTGGGATTCTTAAAAGATGGAAAAGTTAGAATCCCTCGGGATTAATCTCAAAAAATTAAAAAAACCGATCACACTGTGAGGTAATTTCGTAAAATATCCTTACGAGAAATTCCATGCCGGCCTTTAGTTAAATAATTTTTTTCACATTCCATTCTTATTTAAAAAATTAATTTTATTTATATTAGCCACTACTTGATTGTTTTTTTAATTTTTAAATTATTTTTTAATATTTAAAAAAAATTAATGTGCCTTCAACGTCTCTCACTTAAAAATATGTATATTTTTATAGGTACTTATATAATTTTATTCACTTAAAAATTTTTTTTCTTTGTCTTTTGACTTTTTTAATTTTAAATTTTCTTATAAATATGCCTTGCCATTATATATTTAATAAATAAAAATTAAAAAAAAATTTTTTTTTTGGCAGTTTAATTGGTAGTAAAATCCCAACACAATCAAGTTCATTATAGGCGGACATAACTTATGCTTTCTCGAGATTTTAGCCTAATGGGAGAGGTTGGAATTTTCGAATCGTGTCGGCGTTCGAGTCATCTTTTCGGACCGTCCCGACTGAGACTTTTTCGGGCCGTCCCGAAATTTGATGTCCGACTCGATCTTTCGGACAGGATCGGGCCCCAACCCTACTAATGAGAGAGGCTGGAATAATAACTACACTCTTTCAATCGAACGTGTTTAAGTTTAAAAAATCCGATTAATAGCCCTCTAGTGATTAAAAGCCTCGAAATTCTCTCTCTCAAATCTCCAAAATTCTATATCTCCCAAAATTTATTCAATTCAAATTATATTTATTTAAATTCAAAGGATCCTGCCGTCCCGATTCCCGAAATTAAAAAGTTATATTTTTTGTGCTGGCAGGATCCCTAGTACATACTACAATAAAGATGAAAGGAAGAAAACCACAAAAATAGGAAAGAAAATTATTTAATTATTAAAAAAGAAAGAAGAAAAAGAATAGAATTATCCACCAAAGATGTTATTTAGCCATTTATTGGTGGACGTTGATAATTTTTAATACAAGTGCCTGTTTTATGTTTCGTATCATCAATCTCACATTTCAAACCATCACAACATTTAAAAGTATTACTATCATTACCACAAGGATCGTATTCCTTCAAACACGTTTCACATTTTTTTGTATTATATGAACAAAAAGATCCAAGACAACAATACTTATCTACAATAGACACAGTATCGCATTGACCACCTTGTTTAACACAATTGCCAGGTCTACAAGATGAACCGCCAGTTGCTTTAGTTTTACAAAATAGACCACTACAGCATTTATTGTCCTTATTGTTACAATTGATTTCATTCTCTTGAAGACAACAATTAATTGGTTTAAATAATATAAATAAATTTAGGGATAAAAATAGAACAAGATTAATATTATTTAAAGAAGCCATTTAATTAATTCTTTTTTCTGAAAATTTTTATTTTTAGAAGCTAAATTTTATATTCTCGCAATTTTTTAGAAGCTAAATTTTTAGAAACTAAAATTTTATATTCTCGCGAGCGCTTATTCATCCCAGGCAAGTCTGTCTCGTAACCGACCAGCATTATAATAGCGCATAGAAAGGCCTACCCTATGCTCCGAAATATGCTCAACCGGTATCGCCTCTTGGGACCTTCACATCGCACGCAACCTCTAACATCCCAATACCATCCTGGCCAGTGATGGGAAAGTTCCAAAATTTCTCTGGAACTAGTTCCAGTTCCAGAACTAGGTTTTTAATTTTAGTAGTTCCAGTTCCGGAACTCCCTTTTTAAAATTCCTTAGTTCCAGTTCCAGTTCTGAAACTAGTTCAAGCTAGTTCTAGTCTCATATGAATCATCTGATATCCTCCCAAATCCCTCAAAATCCTCCAGTTTCCAGGCTTTTGTGAAAGAATTTTGGAGAGATATCAAAGAATAGACATTCCAACGGAGAAAAATATTCCTCCAAAATTTCTGATATCCACACTTTTAGACAGATTCTGGATGTGTATTTGAGACAGTATTATTTTCAATATTTATTAGAATTCAAACGAGTAAAATGATATATGTTTTGCTAACCTTTACCAGCAGTTTATATAATGCCCATATAAGGTGTACTGAACCTTTAGTGTACTGATCTTTAAGAGTAATTTCAATCTACAAACTACTATTGGGCTTAAATAAGCATAATCTTTATTCAAAAAACAAAAAATAAAATTTGAGAATGGTTTCCACTTTACCGCAGAAGTTGAATGAAGCCGTGAATATAGGCTAAAATTATGAGGGAAAAGTTGGCTCTGCGGTAATTGTGGAGGAAAAATAAATGCAAACAAAAAAGGATTGGGAATCCAAATTTAGAATTTTTGGATGAATACGTACTTTTTTATCTTAAATCACGCGGAGCTATAAGAGAAGAAGGGAATTTTTTTCTGCCCATTTCTATACCTCATTGCCCATATAAGGCTTAATGTACTGATCTTTAAGAGTAATTTCAATCTACAAACTACTAAAGAGTTATTGGAAATCCTTACTTTCTAACAAATTAAAATTAGAAAATGGTTTCCATTTTATCGCAGAAGTTGAATGAAGCCGTGAAAATTAGTTAAAAATGAGATAAAGTTGGCTCTGCGGTCCAAAATCCCCCTAGATTCTAAAATCAACACACGAATTTTTAACTATATAAAGGGATTTTAGATCTTTAAAAGAGACGGTGGGATAAGCGCCCTTGTAGTTATTAAGTAGGATATTGTATTGATCAACATAAGATCTCTTAATGTATACAGTATATGATTTCGATCATCTTATGAAAATCCAAACAAATAATAGGAAAATTAACTTGAATTAAACCATTACTGTCTTTACTGGAGTGAATATGTACTCCAAAAATCTACTTTTTTTTTACCGCAGAAGGCGAAAATTTTGAAAAGTTTGGAAGGCCAAGAAGCCAGATTTGTTCTATTTATGGTACGTGAAATTGCGTGAAAATTGAGAAAAATTTCGAAAATCCGCAGCCGCAATTCTTATTTTAAAATCCACAGCGCATTCCAAAAGTCAAAAAGACACTCAATTCACGCAATCCGCATTTGCGTCCATCTGCTTTGGAAGAGGTAAACGATTGAAGTGGATGTTGTAAGGAAGAGAAAGATCCAGCTGGCTAGCATTTAAAACGCTCACTAGGCGGGGGTTTAAGTTCCATTAAAAGAGAAGATGAAAGCTCAGTTGGTAGAGCACCTGTACGGGATTAGCGAAAAGGGCCTAGCAATAACTGCCAGAAGATTTCAGGATCGAAGCCAGCCCGGGATTAAACTTTTACCTCGCTCCAACTATGTGTTAATTATTTAGGTTATTTAAGGGACGACAAGTGATAGTGGTCTTTATACCTTCGAATAATAATAAATCTACTGATAAGCAATCTTTATTTTTCAAAATAAATTAACATTTTAATAACATTTACTACTTAAATTTCAAATCTTTTGTGTATCTCTTTAAAGACAATAATTCCATTCCATATACCCTAGATTTACCAATTTAGGTGCAAAAGCTATTTGATTCGATAAAGTATCAAACAAAACACAATAATTAGTGAAGGTTTGTAATGAAAATGCTAGTGGCTTTTTTTCTTCTACATCAAATCCAAGTATGCATCTATCGTAAAAGTACTGAAAAAATCAGAATAATTTTTTAAAAGATTTTTTTGTTGATTTTTGAAGTTTCGTTAATTCCATTTTAATCTCTCGATATACCTTTTAGGGTACACCCCGATGTACCGCCGAGCTAAAACTTTGTTCGAAATTGTCAAATCCGTGGGGCCCTTGTATTGTTCGATTCAGCCGGTCGAGCCGCATCGAACCGTACCAGGGCGCCACGGATTCGACAATTTCGAACAAAGTTATAGCTCGGCGGTACGTTGGGCTCGCGGTACTCTAGCCTGCTCCCTACCTTTTAACCTCCAAATTCACTGACATCCCTTTTACTCACCCAACCCACCTTTTTTTACTCACCTCTTTAAAGGGAGCTCTATTTTAACATGGGGCGCTCTACACTTCAGCTATCCTCCAAGGTGTGGCTCTAATTTAAAGTGCGGCTCTAATTTAGCATGGGGCTCTATTTTAGGAAATACGCGGTAATTTAACTGTCATAGTCGACAATTCTTATTGAAAACAGTGAGATTAGAATAGACCGATATCAACCTTAATCCCTTAAAATCTCCGTACCCCATATATCCCTCAACACCATATATCTCAATATATCCTTCTTAATCCTCACAAATCCACCAATATCCCACTTAATCTTCAAAATCAGTCAATATATCCTTAGAATCCTCTTAATCACTCCATTGAGACTGGACCGAGTTATCTGCAAGGGAAACTAATCTTGCTGACTGATATGAACGTAAGGTTCACTAAAATGAACGTGAGGTCCATTAACGAAAGGTTAGGGTACCTTAGACCAATATTTATGTACTCACGTGACTTTTGTTTGCCATATTTTTTCCATAAACATTAATTGTTGTATTAGCATTTTTTAATTTTAAACCAATTGTTTGGTTTCCTCCAGCTTTATAGTCTCTACATTTTCCGTCTAAATAATAATAACCATATTCTGTGTTAATTTGAGCATTTAAAGCCTTTCTGATTTTTTCAATATTTTCAGAACTTCCTTGTATAGCTTTGTATTCTATATCTTCCTCATTAAGAATAAATGTGGTATTCTTCCCAACATTTATAAGTGTCTCTCCATTATTGTTAACGACTTGATCAACAAAAATTTCAATCTTATCCAATTTTCTTTCCTGAATTTAAATATATAATATTGAATCTCGATTATACGTCACCCAAGGAAAAATTTGTTAAATTGAGAGCAGAGCTATTTTGAAATTTTGCTTTTCGAAGTTCGCTTTTCGTAATTTCGATTTTCGAAATTTTGCTTTTCGAAGTTTCGATTTTCGAAATTTCGCTTTTCGAAGTTTTGATTTTCGAAATTTCGCTTTTCGAAGTTTCGATTTTCGAAATTTCGCTTTTCGAAGTTTTGATTTTCGAAATTTCGCTTTTCGAAGTTTTGATTTTCAAAATTTCGCTTTTAGAAATTTCGATTTTCGAAGTTTTGCTTAGCGAAATTTCGCTTTTCGAAATTTCGCTTTTCGAAGTTTCGATTTTCGAAATTTCGATTTTCGAAATCTCGCTTTTCGAAGTTTCGTTTTTCGAAATTTCGCATTTCAAAATTTTGCTTTCGAAGTTTCGATTTTCGAAATTTTGCTTTTCGAAGTTTCGCTTTTTTTGTAGTTTCAATTTTCGAAATTTCTCTTTTAGAAATTTTGATTTTCGAAGTTTCGCTTTTGAAATTTCGATTTTCAAGGATTAATTCTTTTCAAAACAGCTCTGATTGAGGACTCATTAATATAGGGTGGATTTGATAACTAGGTTCAAAAGAAGCTTACATCAAATGTAGCATTAATCGGTTTGCTCATCTTATCCAAATCGCAATATTTTTTAAAATATTTTTCTTCGTCAAAACAATCTCTCATATAATAAAAAAATTCCCAGCCTTGTATAGAATCGTATTCGTAATGAACAGTCATAGCAAAATCAACAAAAAATTCGTCTTCCCCATTTAATTTTCTCGAATTTAGCTTCTCAGTTTTATTAAAATTAAACCTTCTTCCTCCTTTGTTTAAATTTTCTTTAGTAGTTAGTCATACCACTTTGTTCCATTTTCTACCGCACTTTCCTAAAGGATGAGGAGGGGTCCGCAAAATTTCCTAAAGGATTTGAAGGGGTTGGGGGGCGGAGTCAGTGGATTTTAGGGGACATTCCAAAAGGATTTGAAGGGATCCCTTTGATCTTGCCGCTTTCCCGCAATCCCAAATTGTTTCCCCTTTGATCTTGCCGACAATCCTCAAGGTGTGAAAATTCACACCTTTTTGTTTCTTTGATCTTGCCGACAAAACCAATTTGTTCCAAGGTGTTGGGAAAGGGGTCCGACTAAAGCAAATTACCGCACTAGGATTTACCGCACTAGGAGTGCGGTTTGTTCCGCACTAGGAGTGCGGTAAATCGTCAAGGTGTGAAATTTCACACTTCTTTTCCTTTGATCTTGCCGACAAAACCAGTTTGTTCCAAGGTGACCGGGGAAGGGTCCGACAAAACCAACTTGTTCCAAGGTGTCGAGGGAGGGGTCCGACGAATCCAAATTTGACAATTTTAAGGCGTTAATTTTCACACCTTTTTCTTCCTTGATCTTGCCGACAAAACCAGTTTGTTCCAAGGTGACGGGGGGAAGGGTCCGACAAAACCAACTTGTTCCAAGGTGTCGAGGGAGGGGTCCGACGAATCCAAATTTGACAATTTTAAGGTGTTAATTTTCACACCTTTTTTTCTTTAATCTTGCCGACAAAGCCAACTTGTTCCAAGGTGTCGGGGGAAGGGTCCGACGAAATCAAAATTGACAAACTTAAGGTGTAAAATTCACACCTTTTTTTCTCTTTGATCTTGCCGACAAAGCCAATTTATCCAAATTATTGGGGGAGGGGTCTGATAAAACCAAATTTGACAATTTTAAGGCGTTAATTTTCACATCTTTTTCTTCTTTGATCTTGCCGAAAAAAATAGTTTGTTCCAAGGTGTCGGGGGAAGGGTCCGAAGAATATTTTTTTGAATATTTTAAACTAAAACTTTAAAAATTATCCCTGAACATGATCGAACCCGTGACAACTAATGAATATTCCGAATCAAAACCACTAGCTACTAAACTACAGAGGAACATTTTTTATTGCAATTTTTGCTTTTAAAGCTTTTAAACTATTTTAACATGCATGCATATTAAATTAGTCAAATTTAAAATGGCGTCGCTTCTCTTTTTTTAAACAAGCGTCGCTTCTTATTTTTAAATGGTCGCTTCTCTTGTAATTAATTCATCGAAAAGAAAATGGGTTTATAATATTACATGTATGCATTTTAAATTACTTGAATTTTTAAAAGAGCTTCGCTTCCTTTTTTAAAGATAACGATAAACATTTTGGTTTACAAAAGATGGTCCCTCTTAATTTTTAATTTGTCCTCACATGTCTGATTTTTATTTTTTATATATTTCAAATATTCTTTGAGCTTTTTATTGGACGCATAAACTTTCATTGGACGCATAATTGTCGATTGGACGCCGCATAAACTGGAGTAGAGCCAAAAATTTTTCAAAAAATCTTATTCACAAAATCAATTAAAGATTTTTTTCCAAAAATCTATTTATTTTTAAAAAATTGTTTTACAACGTAAATTTGCTACGGAAAAGCATTTTTGCTTTCGCTTCACAAAACAATTTGAAAAACTAAAAGCTAAATTATTAATATTAAAAATTCGAAAATATTTTAAAAATAAAGGGAAATGGACACATAAAAGTTAAATTTTTATTAGAAAAACCTAAAAATCTTTTGGATATGAAAATTAAAATCAATCATTTTTACAAATGTTATTACGAAAAATTTTTTGCTTTAATTCCCTAAAGGGAATTGGAAAAATACAGTAAAAATTAAAAAATGAAAAATATTTTTGGAACTTAAATTAATCAATTTATTTCCCAGTCTGTCACTTTTATGCTACCTCAGTATTATTAGACGGGAAGTAAAATGTTTTTCCTAATTTTTCTATGTAAAAGTGAACAAATACGGTATAAACCACCATCTTGAATATATTAGATAATTAAAACTGGTAGAGTAATTTACTAGATGAGGAATTGTTGCAATAGTAATATTTTGGTTCAAGTCATCTATTTGTAAACTATCATTGTATCTTTTTATACCATAGCGGCGAAACGGTGTTAATCTATAAAATTCAAAGTCTTCAGCATTCGCTCTTGATGATTTTAGTAAATGTATTGGACACTCACACCTTCCTGGTATAGGTCCTGTAATATTAAAAGGTAGATTCAATAAATATTTTGGACATCTACAGGGTTCTTGTTTCCACATATCTTGCCATCTGGGATCATTTACTAGAGATAAATTTGAAGAGGAGGCAAGGGAAAATAATAAGAATAATATTATGATAAACATTTTGGTTAAAGATTACGTGAAATCGTGGTCTTTTATACCATTCCCATCAAAACCTCATGAGAAAGTTATATTACAACGAAGCTCGTCGGAATAGTCTAGCCCTGAACCGAGTTGATTGTTTTACTTAAATGTTATGATTCACAATTCGAGCCGTAACAGATGAGAATTAGCCAGGCGCCAATATTATTAATCAAGATCACGCCAACGAACTAATTCTACTAAAAAATTTTAATAAAAATCAAATTTGTTACAAATAAGATGGCCCCTTTTAATTTATTTTCGAAATAGATGGGAAAGTTTTTCCTTGTTTTATTTCACCATTAATATTTTTTAATTTTATTTTTGCAATTTATACATGTTTGCATAATAAATTAGCTTTATTGCAAAAATCCTTTGATCATTTTATTAATTGTTTGCATATTAAATTAGATTTGCCGAATTTAGTTTTATGATTTATGAATGTTTGCATATGAAATTAGATTTTTAAAAAATCCTTTGATCTTTTTATTGGAAACATGCATATTAAATTAGATTTGCCAAATTTTATTATTGTAAAAAGTTTGCATATTAAATTAGATTTTTAAAAAAATCTTTTGATCTTTTATTAAATGCATACATATTTAATTAGATTTGCCGAATTTCGTTTATTGATTTCTAATGCTTGCATATCAAATTAGATTTTTAAAAAAATCCTTTGATCTTTTTATTAGTTTCTTGCATATTTAATTAGATTTGCCGAATTTCATTTTTTTTTGATTTATAGATGTTTGCATATTAAATTAGATTTTTATAAAATCCTTTGATTTTTTTGGCTGCATGCATATTAAATTACGAATTTCTATTTATTTTTGCATGTGTGCATATATAATTAGTAATTTTCATTTATTTTATTCTTGCATATTTAATTAAATTTTGAATTTTACTTTGATCTTTTTCGCCTGCATGCATATTAAATCAGGCAATTAAAATTTTTATTCGATGTTTTCGACACACATGCATATTTAATTAAGATATAAGAAATTGGTGTAGGGGCTGGACTATAAAAATGGTAATTTTTAAAAATATTATATCATTTTTTTATCAAAAATGCTTTATAATTTAGTTTTATGGAAATAATTAGTTATATTTATAATTAAGTTTTATTTATTTGTCGAAATATTTACTTTGTATAATTTTTGTTCAAATTGTCTAAATTATCATTCATTAAAGATAAATGATTACTGAAATGCTCTTTGAACTTATTATTTGCAAGCATATTTAATTAAGAATCAATTAGTGCATACATATTTAATTAAATGTTGTAATTTACTTTGATCTTATTTCTTTGACATGCAGGCATATTTAATCGTTATTTGAATTTTTTCTTTTTTCATCGATGCATAATTAATTAATATTTTGATAATATTGTCAAGAAGAAAATTGTATAAAATTTTGCATATAAAAGCGGCCATTTTTTAAATTTTTAATCATTTTTACAATAATATTTTTTTTGTAATTTAGTTAAAGTTTTCTGACATCTTACTAAAAAATATTTTATTAAAATGCAAAAACTTTCAAAAAATTCACGCAATTTCTTTATTG